AAGACACCACGGTCATATTTGCTTCCCCCAAAGACTGGCGGGATTCAGGGGTTTAGGGTTTAGGGAGCACGGCCACAATCCCCCAAGTACTGGCGAATTACGACCCAAGTGCTTTCCCCCAAACACTGGCGGCATTCCGGAGCACGGCGCTTCCCCCATGTACTGGCAAGATTCAGGGGGTCTGCCGAGATGCCTTTTCCCAGGGCGGTATGAAGAGTTGTCGAATGGCAAAACGTGGTTCATGGTTATTGGGCTTATTGTGAATCTGGATTCCCGGCACCCGTCCCGGGAAATGCGCCGAATGCCCAGCCTAACCAAGTTTCTTGCTCCAAACCTTACAGGTGGGAACCCCGCAGTGTGCACCACCCCTAAACCCTAAACCTACACTGTTTAAGGGAAACAAGCATTTCCACCATGTCCTAAAGCAACCTGAGCTCTAAATCCCAGACCCAGACCGCCCTACAACCCTAAGCCCTCAGCCCGAAACTCGAAGCCAACCTAACCCTTAAACCCGACCCCCAACCCCCAAAACCCTAACCCCTAAACCCCTAAACTTTAACCCCTAAACCCTAAACCCTAAACCCTAAACCCTAAACCCTAAACCTTGAACCCTAAACCCCTAAACCCCTAAACCGCTAAACTAAACCCTGAACCCCAAACCCCCTAACCCCTAAACCTCTAACCCCTAAACGCGAAGCCTTAAGCTCGAAGTCCGGCCCAGCCTGTGCCACGCCCAGGATGTCTAAGCAGGTCTCCATTTGGCTCAAGCATCGGTCCAGCCGAAGGAAGATTCCAGAGAAGGTCTCCAAGCCTTGCAGGGCCTTAACATCGGGTTTCGGGTTTAGGGTTTAGGGTTCAGGAGGGTTTCGGGTTCAGGGTTTCGGGTTTAGGGTTCAGGCCTTAAGGTTTCTAGTTCAGGGTTTCGGGTTTAGGGTTTGAGGTTTCTACTTCAGGGTTTCGGGTTTCGGGTTTAGGGTTTCGGGTTTTGGGCTTAGGGTTCAGGAAGGTCAAAAAGGGTCGATTCGTGTGGATCTTCCCTGGGGAACCCTTGCGGAATACCGGGCATGCCTAAACCCGAAGGCTCTAAAGATTCCTCCGGCCGCTAGATTCGGCTTTCAGAAGGCTTGACAGGCATACCGGTCTTCTGAAACTTAAGGGTTTAGGGGTTTAGGGTTTAGGGTTCAGGGATTAGAGGGTTAGGGCTTAGGGTTCAGGGTTTAGGGTTCAGGGCTTAGGGGCTTAGAGGTTTCGGGTTCGGGGGTTAGGGTTCAGGGTTGAGGGTTTAGGGTTAAGGGGGCTGAAGGATCTGTAAGAGTTCGGGAGTTCTACAAAGTCGCTCTGAGGGTTCTACAACCTCGAAAAGATGTCTTTAAGGACTCCAATCAGGCTCTACATAAGTTTCTTTCAAGGGTTCCACAAGGTCGCTCGGCGGGTTTCTTCAAGGAAGTAAGGGTGCCATAGCGGGGCCCGATAAGTGGTAAATAAGGGCTCTATAAGGGCTCCAAAAGGGTTCAGGCTCAAGGGCTTTCGATCTTTTCGGTGCTCTGCGAAGGCTATGCGAGATTTCTACAAGGGTTCTGTATGGGCTCTAGGGTTTAGAATCAAGGGTCTAGGGCCTTTAGCGCTGTAAAAGGCTTTATGGACCAGGGGATCAGAATAGGTATGAGGTTCTTTAACCGTTGTAAACTTAGTGTTTGTGGACAAGGGGATTGATAAATTATGTCGCGAGTGTCTCGAACAAAATCGAGGCTGTAGGTTGAGGTCGTGGCTTGCAACCCCCTTTCACCTAGGGGAAACAATGACCAAAAGTAAAATAAGGTTTTTGGGCCAAAAATGGTATGAGTATACACGGCCTACAAGCGGATATTCTCACCACAACTTACGAAATGTTCAGATCCCCACCTCCTCGACCATTTCGGCTGCATACGGTTTAGGGAGCTTAGGGATGCACGAAACCTAAGACCAGAAACAAACAATCCATCAGAAAGTTAAGCAATCAAACCGTTCATCCATCAATCAATCAGCCAATTTTAACCAAACATATACTGTAACCCTAAACCCTAAAAACCCT